CCCCCCCCCCCCCCCCCCCCGTGTTCGGTACCTGAAATAAAATAGCCCTGTTGACTCCTTTCTGCGGCTTTGGTATCTGTGGGCAAACAGGTATTAATTAGATAATCTGCAGAGAGCTGGAAGTGGGCAAGAGAAGGAAGAGCTGGACAGTAGTCTCTCTTGAGACCCTGATAGTAATTCACTAACTAGGTGGACTGACTGGATTCCTGGGAGATCCAGCTCAGCTCCTAGCAGGATGGAATCTGCTCAGGACAAAAGCAGGGCCAGGAAGACCAGGCCCAAAGCTACCTCCCCAGCCTGTAATGTTGCAGGCAGGAGAAGCAGCCCAGACCCCTTCTCAGGAATCCCTAACCCCTCCCCCACCTGCCTCTCCTAGCCCCGCCGCTCCCAGCCTCCACTGGTACTTCATCCTTTCTCAGAGAACCAGCTAAATCCCAAGGAGTTGGATGAGGAGATCCACGCGTGGGAGAAACCTTGAGAGGCAGCTAGACCCCTTGGAGAAGCACTTGGCAAGCAGAGGCGTGCTCTTCCACATTTGTCTGCCCCAATCTTTGACACTCGAGTCACTCAGCCAGTTCTGTCTCTGCAGGACCAGGGGACCCTCGCGGACTCCTGGAGCGCGGGGCCAGCACGCCAGTTTGCGCTTTAGCTGCCCCTTTAAGGGTTCCCGAAACTTTCTCGTAGCTCCCGGCTGAGCCTCGTCACATCCGTTAGCCGGGGCCTCCCGGACACGTTCCGAGGAAATTTTGCACTCCAGTTTCCCCGGGAAGAGGCGCAGCCCGAGCCCCGTGCGCGCCAGGCGCCCATCCGTGACCTTGGCCGCGGAGGAGGGGCTAGGCCTGCGGGGCGGCGGCCACCAGAGGGGGCTGCGGCTAAGAACTTAACTCGGCACCGCCCTCTCCAGCCTCCTCCTCGTCCGCCCCGCCCCGGCCCACCCCGGCCCGGCCCGCCGGGGACCGCAGCCCCGCGGGTTCCCGGACTTGCCGAACCCCAGTGCGGGGATGGGCGCGCTGTTCCGAGCGCTTCTGCTCCCGCTGCTGGCGCAGTGGCTCTTGCGCGCTGCCCCCGCGCTGGCCCCGGCGCCCTTCACGTTGCCCCTTCAGGTGGCCGCGGCCACGAGCCACAGAGCCTCTGCCGTTCCGGGGCTCGGGACTCCCGAGTTGCCCCGTGCAGATGGCCTGGCGCTCGCACTGGAGCCCGCAGGGGCTACCGCCAACTTTTTGGCTATGGTGGACAACCTGCAGGGGGACTCTGGCCGCGGCTACTACCTGGAGATGTTGATCGGGACCCCGCCGCAGAAGGTAGGAGCTTGGGGCAGGGGTAAGGTGTGTGGGGAAGGACGAGGTGGGTGTCATTGTCTCCGCGCCGTTCAGTGTCGCCTCTAAGGCTGCAGCTTTCCCCGGGGAGAAGAAAGAGCTGGGGTTGGGGCTGCAAGGATTGGGTGCAGAGCCTAGGCGCGCTGGGGACACGCCTGGAAGCGCAGCCTCTGCCCAGGCATAGCTCAAGGGGTGTGAGCAAATGTTTCAGAACTTGGTGTCCCTCCCGGGCAGCTAAAGGGACCTATAACGCACTTCCTCCCCAGGAGCGACGCCTCCATCCAGAAAGAGCGGTGATGGGGCGGGGGGGGGGGGGGTTGGGGTCTTGGAAGAAGGTGCTGTTAGGTGGAGGGAAATCCCTGGAGCTGATACCCTCCCTCTAGGCTGTCTCATTGCTAAAGAGACTATTGGACAGCGTCCAGGCGCTCTCCATGAGCTCAGCTAAGACTCCCGGTTCGAAGGGTCTCTACCCGGTGGAGTCGCCTTCCTCTCTGGAGTTGATTTGCTGGCTTCCTTGTAGTTGTCCGCTTCTGGGCGCGGTGCAACCGCCAAGGCACGCACCCTGCGGGGTTGGAGAGTATGAATGCCATTAGCTTTTGGGGAACACCGGGCAGGTAGTGAGGCGAAGACAAAACAAAACGCAGTCCAAACAGCTTTCTTTTCCCGCTCTGCGCCGATGTTCATTTAACTCTTCTGTAGCGAGGAACAGGGCTCCCAAGAACGGAATCTGGCAAGAAAGAGAAAAGCCTCCCAGAAGTGCCTCTGCCCTCTCTGATCTACCCGCTGCGAGTGTGGTTCGAATTCAAGCTGTCTCACGGGTTGAATGCACCATATGAAGATACTTGATTTTCTTTTTTAACACTGTCGCTGGGGGTTTTCATGCTGATGTGATTGCCTGTAAATAGAACATGCTCATGACTTTTATATGATTCTAGTTACTCAAGGCTTTAAGAATAAGACACACCATGCTAGTTTTTAAAAAGAGAAACCGCAGAATAACTTCTGTAGTTGTTCAGACCATCAAGAGTGTATTTTTCTGCTCAAAACTTTGGTTGCAGTTGCTGTACAGGGTCCTGTGTGCCCAGTCCAGGAGTGGCTGCAGGGCGGAGGGGAGGGGCCTGTGTCAGCTGAGGAGGCTTAGGGGGCTCTGGCAGTCACCACCCTGGGAGCCTGATCCCAGGGGGTGGGATCCCGTGAACTGCACAAGACAGGAGGGACCTGCCTCTTCTGTGCAACACCAAAATCTTTCATACACAGGCCTGGACTGATTCCCCACTTGGGAAACTTCTACCCTTAAGGATGAAAGCTGTTGTTTTAGGTCAAAAGGAAATTCTCTCTCCTGAACTGAATGGGATTCTGGCAGTTCCAGGGCTGAGGAGAAGGGAACCAGGAAAAGGCTTTAAGTAGGAGGAGAAGATTGCTCTGGCAAAGCTCTCCTACACTATTGCTCGCCTTTGTTGATAATTTAGTGACCTTTACTTTAAATTCAGGGATACAGTTTAGTTAATTTAATTAGGCAGGATGTAAGGAGCATCCAGGATGGTACCCTTAACACAGCCAGGGAAGCAGTCCCTCCCAGGCTCAGTTGGACTGTAGCATGCTTCCAAGGAAGGCTGTTTTGTGACAAACACAAGTACTATTTCTGCATTCCACATGGGGTGAAGTGCTCTGCACTGTTGCCCTGGCATGACGGGGACAAAGATCTGTGCAGCGGGTAATCCCACCGTAAGCACCAGGTGCTGGCGACTGGCCTTGCTGTCTGCTCTGTAGCAGCTCTGGTACCTGCAGGGCTTTGCAGCTGGCTCATGAAGTAAGGAGGTGACCTCTGAACCCCAGAGGCAGTTCCTACTGAAGGAGTAGGCACCAGGTCATGCATGCATTTTCTTGTTCTCTGAAACCTCAAATAAAATTGCTTAGAGAAAGAGAGAAAAGTAATAAAGTAACAAGACTTCTTCAGATTTTAATAGCCATAGCTAGTGTCTTCCGCCTTCATGCATGAAGAGCACCTTGACAGATGTGTTCTCTCTCACACCCACACCCTCATAGCCTTACCATCTTGTGTGTGTGTGTGTGTGTGTGTGTGTGTGTGTGTGTGTGTGTGTGGTGCATGCAGGGCTATGTAGGCATCTTTGTGAAATATATAGGTGTGCATGTGTGTATGCCCATGGAAGCCACAAGCTTAGGTGTTATTCCTCAGCGGGCTGTCCACCTTAATTTTTTAGACAGGCTCTTGGTGGGATTAAGCTGGCCTTCTATCTCTGGCTGGTGCTTGGACTGCAGACATTCACTGCAAACCCCAGCTTTTGTGTGGCCATTGCTGTGCGCCCAGAGTGGCAGGGGTGAGGTGTGGAAACGTTGGATGACTTGCTAGGGCAATGGGCGAAGAGAGAGGGTGAGGAGTGGAGGCCAGGTCATTAGACTGAAGAGGTAAGCTGTGTGCCACAGGCAGACCAGGCTCTCCTCTGCATGTTTCCTGTCTGCTTTCCCTTTTTAGTGCTACAAGTGCCCTTCCTAGGTAATAGTCCCTGGCCCGTGCTGGAGTGTTAGGGACTGATGGCTGAATGTACCTAGAGTCTTCCACATACTGTGATCACCCTTCCTCTGCCCTTTTAAGGCCATGCTCAAGGCCCATATCAACAGTTGGATTCAGGGAAGTGCACGAGATGCTCTGTGAAAGGATGCTGCCTGAACCAAAGCTCAGCAGAGTCCTGCCATGAATGGGAAGGCCAGCCTTGGAAGTGTGCTTACTCCTGTGCGCTTTCACTAAGAACTAGGATCCACTGTCCTGCCCACCAAAGCTGTGAGAAGATATAGGCTTCTGCCTAGCAGCCTGGGAGAGCCTCAGAGCCCTACTCTGGCAAGCAGGCCCACGTTGGCATGGAGATGAGAATCAGGGTTGCACACGGATACCATTATGTGACTCCTATCTAACAGGAGAACCGGCATGCCCTGGAACCATGCAATTTGGTCTTATTAATAATAAGAGTGTTCAAAAGTGATTATAATTATAGCAATTTACATTATTGAAATATACTTTCATGCTCGTGCAATAAACCCAAGTGAAGTGGCCAAAGGTCCGCAGCTTTATGCTTTATGGTGGCTCAAAAGGGCTTCGGGGGATTTCTGTTGGAAGATTTCTGTCACCTGCATTAGTATGGATGAAACAACTGGCAAACTATCTTCACATTTAAGCCTTCAAATGTAAACATTTAACAAGGTGCTTTGGCACATGTGCTGGGTTGTCGATCAGTCTCTCGGCACAGCGTTTGAGAGTACAGAGTGAGCCTCTATAGAATTTAAGCACTTTCTTTTCTTTCTTTCCTTCCTTCCTTCCTTCCTTCTTCCTCCCTTCCTTCTTCCTTCCTTCTTCTTTCCTTCCTTCCTCCCTCCCTCTTTCTTTCTTTCTTTCTTTCTTTCTTTCTTTCTTTCTTTCTTTCTTCCTTTCTTTCCTCCTTTCAAGTCACCTGGGGCCCCAATCACATTAGGCTCACAGTAAGTGAGGCTGGAAAAAGGAAGGCAGCCAGTCAAGGGAAAAGGATTCATCAGAGGACATGAAAGGCAGACAGACAGCGCTGGAGGAAACAGCATGAGTGCTCTCTTTTTCTTGCATGGCCAATGTAGGTTGCCATGCTAAATGTTTTTTTCTTTATCTCTTCTTTTTGTGTGTGGAGGTGTGGGGTCAAACCCACACTTGAAAAGCACTTCATAATTGAGCTTTGTGCCCCCACCCCAGGCTAAGCAGTTTTCCAAGTTTGCCTCATTGGATTTCATGCTTTCCTGTGGAGACTGTACAATCATTTGACTTAATTTTAAGATGGAAGCTGAGACTTGTCCTGAGTCATGTCTCCACAGCCATTCGATGAAGAGGTGTGTCCATCCATCCTATCAGGCTTGAGCCCCTGTCCTATGAGTCCCCTGTCTCAGCTATTGTGGCTTCAGCCATCTTCCCTTCTCTTCGTGTTTGGGAGTTGCTGAGAGCACTGAGATGCATTTGTGTTGCATATGACCAGGGGAGTGGTTCCCCTCTCTGAGCCCTCAGACCACCGTGGTTAGCTCTCTTACCTCTACATTAGTTTCTTGGGCTTCCCTAACAAAGGTCCAGAGACCGGAGGCTTAAAGCAATTGAAATCTATTTCTGGATGGCTCTAGAGGCTGGAAGCCCACAGCTAGGCTGTCGGTGATGAGACCAGCCTTCCTGTGAGGTTTCAAGGGAGGACACTTCACTTCCTAGTCTGAATGGCCTGGAGTGTTCTTCACTCGTAGCTGCATTGCTCCAGCCTCTGCCTTCGTCTTTGCTGACTTTCATCCTCTGTATGCATCTGCCTACAGTCCAGTCATTATAAAGACATCAGTCGCTGGCATGCCTTACTGTGTCTGCACTGTTTATATCTGCAAAGGTTTCAGACAAGGTTCCGAGCTTGGATTTCCAACTCCACATAACCGTTTGCATCAACACTGGACTGCACAGATAATTGTGGTCCTGTAAAAATGCATGGTCTATGATGCTATAACCGTCTACCTTAGTCACCTTTCCTGTTGCTGAGGTAGAAGACTAATAAAAGCAAATTAAGGGGAAAGGGTTGGTTCTGGTTTCCATGTCAGGGACAGCCCATTGTGTGGAGAAAGTTGAGGTAGCAGGAGCTTGAAGCAGCTGGTTATGTTGCTTTCACAATCAGAATGAAGCAAACAATGAAGGCACGCTGCTGCCCAGCTCCCCTTCTCTGTTATACAATCCAGGATCCATCCATCTCCCCTCCATTAGTGCCATCAAGGCACCCCCGCAGGCCCATCTCCCAGCTGACTCTAGATTCTGTCACACTGACAGTTAACACTGACGGTCACACCATCTAAGTGTGTCTCATTATAACTGTGATATTTTCACAATGACAAAATTGTGTAATGCTGCGTCTTAGGACATACCCCATCCATAAATAGTGCCTGCGTCTACTTGGGGGAATACAGTTTTATTCTCAAGCTCTTTCTAA